CTGCATACCACTTAGCTCACCTTGTGTTCTGCGTCTTCCCAAGCTGTCTGGTCATGGACATCTGGCACTGGCCAGGGGCCCTCCTGGTTTCTCCATTCAACATGAAGTGGAGATGCTTCTGTGCAGGCTGGAGGTGTGGAGGGGTCAAAGTTTTGCCTCTTCTCAGCGGCCTTGCCTGCAAGGTGTGTCTCCAGCATCTCTCCAAGATTTCACTTTAGGAGGCATGCTTTCTGCTTCTTCCCTCTAACTGCCATCTTGGAATCCCCTTCTTTTTGCTTTAACACAAGATATTCCAGCACTGGTGTTCAACCATCTGCCCCAGGATCTCTTTGTTCCTTTAGTGGATAGTGGTATTTATAAACTGGGCAGGTGATGTGCACATTGCTATTCATGTGTCATTATTTCAGGTACTTGCAGTGAAGATAACCAGTATGCATGTGTGTGTTTCTCTCTCTGTTCTCTAGTTCTATTTCCATAGCCATGGTCTACCTGCTATCTATCTATCTATCTATCTATCTATCTATCTATCTATCTATCCATCTATTCATCTTTAAAACTATGGGTTCACACCAGCACTCCCAATTTCAGGCCAATATCACAAGCTTTTTTAGCCTTCCAACTCCCCATATTATTCCATGAAAACTTCTCTAATAGTAAGTTACTTGGCTCCCATTATTTTAAAAATATTTACTGTTTACTCAGCCTGTCTATATGGCACTACTCTCCTAGCTATGTGGCTAATTTAGTCCCATCCCTTAGCCCTGACTTGTGAGCTGCAAGCCCTAGCTCCAAAGAACAAGCTGCAAAGTCCCTTATCTTAGTCATAGCTCCAACACATGAACCAAGATCCAGCTGCATCCCTGGCCCAAGTGAGGTGGCTGGTTGACATGGAGAAAGTTGACTACACAAGACAATAAATCAATAAAACATAAACTGAGACAAGGGCCTATGTACAGACAATTCATTTGGAGAGGATGTCAGGGATCAGGACTGAGGAAGATGAGATGAGATGGGGACGGAGGAGAAGTCATTTAGTTTACATTATCAAGATCATCTTGTGAAATGGACTGGAATGATCTTAGATGTCTACGGAATGATTCCCAGAAACAACCACTGGAAGGAGGACAACAGATGCATGTAAACATGTGCCTTCAGGGCACTGCTGGAAGGCTGTTGCACAGAAGGTCTACTCCTCCACATGTTGATTTTCAGGCAAGAGTGCAATAGTGTAGGCTCAGCTAGCTCTGACCCAAGAAGGTTCCCAGGATGAGCCCAGAGGCAGAAAGCAAGAAGTGAAAGACACAGAGAGTAGATGTTGAGGGAGTGGAGTGAGTCATATAACCTGCAGCAAACTTTCTTTTCTTGTTGGGAGTGAAATTGAGGTAAGCCCAAGAGGATATGTATCAGCTTCAAGTGACCTCCCCAGTTTTGTGTTCCCAGTTTACAAGGGAGAGAATTGGAGAACATATATATGAGCTGGTTTATGTAAGGATGTGGATTTTTTAAACACAAATATTGAAATGAGGGCACATAAACATCAGTCACTTAAGGTGCATGTTACCTACCTGTTACGTTTAATGCTTTCTGCACAAAGGCCATTGTCATTTGACATAAAGTGACAGAATTGTAGAGTATAGTTGGCTAAAGTTGGGTTGTGGTTTTTGCTGTGGCCCATTGTCAATTTAGGGTGAATCTTCATGCATTTGGAATTTAAGACTTGTGATCCAGGGTTTAATGAAGCCTTGACTCATATCTCTGTGCCAGTTTGGCCTTGAAGCTGTGGAAGCAAGAGGCTAGAATTAGGTGGATCTTTTGTGTGCCTCTACTCCTTTTTCTACTCTTAATTAATTAATTAATTTTTTATTCATTTATTCATATGTGCTAAATTGTTTGGGCCATTTCTCCTCCATACCCCCTGCCTCTTCTCTCTCCTCCCCACCCACCCTCGCTTCCAGGCAGAATCTGTTTTGTCCTTATCTCTAATTTTGTTGAACAGAGAGTATAAACAATAATAAAAAAGACAAAGTGTTTTTGCTAGTTGAGATAAGGATAGCTAACAGAGAGATTCCTAGCATTGTTTCCATGTACAAATGTGTTACACCCAAGTTGATTCATCTCTAACTGACCTTTTCTCTAGTTCCTGATCCCCTTCTCATATTGACCTCTGTGCTTTAAAGTTTCTGTGTTAGTTCCTCTGCAGTGGGGACATCAAATACTATCATGTTTTGGGTTTCTTACCTATCCCCATACCTCCCGTGTGTGCTCTTGCCTTTTCATGTGACCAAAGTCCAATCACATTGTTGTATTTGCCTAGATCTAAAGTCCACATATGAGGGAGAACATACGATTTTTGGTCTTCTGAGCCTGGCTATCCTCGCTCAGAATGATGTTCTCCAGTTCCATCCATTTTCTTGTGAATAATAAGATTTTTATTCTTCTTCATGGCTGAGTAGAATTCCATTGTGTATAAATTACCACATTTCTACTCTTAATTTATAAGAACAGAAATTTATAGCTCACAGTCCTGGAGACTAGGAAGTCAAGGACAACATGCAGCTAGAGTCAGTGTCATAGATTGTACCTTCTATGTGCCCTCACAAGGTGAAAGAAAAAAACCCAAGTTTCCTCAAGCCCCTTTTATCACTAATATCGCTCATGAGAGCAGACTCCTCATGATTTAATCACCTCTTAAGGCCCCATCTTTTACCTCTTACATCACCACAACAGGTGCTATGATTTATGTTCTGGTTGCCCCCCAAGGGCTCCTGTGCTATAGGCTTGGTTCCCAGTGTGAACCTTTAAGAAGTGGGGTCTACATTTGAAACCCCCTGGAACTCCAAGACAGGGTTTTCCAGTGTGGATGCTTGGAGTGCTGTGAATAATTAGACCTTCCGTGATCACCCTGTTGTAAAAATCTTTAAAGTGTATATCTTAATGAAAATAATGTCTTTATTTGTAGATTGAATTTAAAGTAAGTATGGATGATAGAACTCTAGCAAATATACCTTCTCCTTAAACAAAGGAAGTGGGTTTTTTTTTTGTTTTTTTTTTTAGTTTAGAATTTTTTTACTTTCAGTATCTCCCATTTTTTAACCCAAAGACTTCTCATTTTCCTACGGACAAGACTTAAAAGGGGAAAGGAAGGAAGGAAGGCAGGCAGGCAGGCAGGCAGGCTGGGGAAGTGGGTTTAGTAGAAGGTTATTTAGGTGATGGGGGCTCCATCCTGATGAGTGGATTAATACTGGTAGCTACAAGTGGTTTGGCTCTTGCAGGCATGAGTTATTATGAGAGTGGGTTGTTTTTAAGTAAGTTCACCTCATGCACTGGGCCCCTTCTGCACACATCTGTTTTTCTTTCTGATTCTCTGGCCATGTTGTGACAAAACCAAGGAAGTTCTTGTCAGACATAACAACATGTGCTTTGGACTTTCCAGCTACCAGACTGTATAAACTTTTCTTTACACAGTTTACAAACTCAGGTACTTTATTTTGTAGCAGCACAAACGGTTGAAGAAAATGGGGATTAGGTTTCAATATGGATTTTGAAGGGGAACAAACATTCAGACCATAACAGAAATTAGTTAATTCTGAGTCTCAGAACTGCCAGTCCTTACTGCTTTTTAGGACTATGAGCTAGGGGCTGATGTCCAGTGTCCTTTGTTTTCCTTCTACAACATTCTGCATATCATCACTCTAGTCTGGCCCATTCTTCTAACTTTACCCTCACTACTACCCTGCTCAGACCCTCTTGGTCTCCCCTGCACCACTGCAGTGGCTGCTCCCAGACCTTTCCTTTCTCATTCCACTCTGTGCTCAGACACCAGGTTGTTCTTCTTAATGCTACCTTTAATCGTGTAGTGTCATAATTCTGCTATATTTCAGAATTTTTATTGAAACCAGTACTCACTGATGACTTCCTGGTCTCAAGTTTAAGATCCCCTACCATAAGGCTCCAACATTTTATTTCTAAAATCCCAACTCCTCTGTCTTTTCAGAGTCTGGCCAGATGGAACTCTTCCCTCTGGCCCACTGCCCTCCCCTTTCTCTTAGCAAAGTTCAGAGGAGCCTGTTCATTTGCAATGTGTTGCACACATCATCCTTCTAGACCAGACATCTGGAGGAGTCATCTTCACGAAAATCCTCAAATGAATGTGATCACAGACATCTACTTTCCTAATAGGCCTGATTTTGCTCCTGTGATATTACTCTGGGTTTGAGAATTTATTAGACAGAGAAAATCTGGGGCCAGGGAGAAAAGTTTGTAGAATATTGAAGAGATCAAGAGAGAGATTTTGGGCAAAAATAGACATCATGAAAAAAGAAACAGGCTTACAGAAGCTAATGAATGAGAGCAAGTGATATTAAGGCTGGAGCCAAAGGGCTGTTTGTTGTAGTCCTGCCAAATTCTCCCTGATTTTCGGCTGAGTCCAGACCAGCCAAAGGACATTCCTGCAAGTTGGTCTTACATATCCCCACCTGTCACCTCCTGCTCCTTTGTGCTCCCTCCCTGCTAAATGTTACCACATGCAAAGTGAGAACAAGTCATCTAAAATTACACCACATATTTCTTTTGAAAATTCCACAGTCACATAATAACATTAATTTAAACACAACATTACAAAGATCAGTCTACTTGAAGAAAAGCTGATTCTGTCAAATCAGTATATACAGAGTTTGTATATGCTGATGATCCATGGTAGATCTCACAACCCTACAGACAGGTGAAGGACATTTGCCAGGAATTTAATTCATTTCATAGAAAAAAAATACACACATCACAAGGATTTTGTATTTTACAGTCACTTTATTTGGCAGAGAAAGTCAATACATATCCATAACTTAAATACAATTCAATATTATTTAAGAAATACTGTGTTTAAAATTATTAAACAAACATCTCTTTGGGGGAATTATGATAAAATACTGCACTTGGGAAAGGTTGGGGGAAATAAATAAGGTATTCCTCAGACTCTGACTATCTCTCAGTCCAGGTGTGAAGGTTCAAGCCTTTAGGGTTTGGGACTTTTGGTTTAGGAGCTTCAGGGAGTCCTTGACCCACTTCTCTTTGGGGTCAGCACAGATCTCCTTGTCCTGTTTGGTCTTGAAGCTGTGGGGGAGAGAGTACAGTTAGACAGAGTACCTTCAGTTTCCTGCCCAGCAGTATGGCCCATTAGTCCCTATTTTTGATCCTTTCTTTCTATTCTGCCTGAGATATCCTGACCCACAGTGATAAATGGTCCTCTCTGTGCCACTTCTCCAAATAATGTGAGGTAGTGGCTGCACTCAGCATCTCGTCCCAAAGCTGATGTCAGGAGACATAATGCAGAATGGCCTCAATCAGTAGGTGGAGGACCTGGATCTGGAGGAAGGGTAGAATAAAGAGGTCTCAAGAGGAAGTCATGCTCTTACTGTCCCAGCTGAAGCCCTCTGGGCTGTTGACTAAAGGGACAATGTTACCAAGTCCTGGAAAGACAGCCAGATGACTATAGTCTGCTCTCAGTTCCTCTATGGGATTAGATGCTATATTTGTCAGGCTCATTTAGCCATGGATCTTCTCTCTTGTTCCTCAGACAGAATACTTGACTGGGTGTGTGGACATTGTCTACTCACATCACAGCTTCCTGGGGACATTGGGTGCTGGTGTAGCTCTTCAGCTTCTGGATGGGGATCTTCTTAGTGATCATATTAAAGCAGCAGGTGATCGGGGCTGTCACAGATTCTGAAAACAATTTTGCAAAGAATGAGACCACTAGGAGATACTATAGTGGCTCTCCCAAGGGAAGGAGAAAGCAGGAGGACACCTAGGTGTCACTGCTCCCAAGTTCAGCACCCTGTTTCAGATCCCAGCCACAAAATGCAATTGTTTCCTCTGATGAACTATGGGCCTCCCCACTGTTGACTGGTGATGGAGAAATCTCATCTCCTTACCCAAAACTTCTGACACTGGGAAAATAAGTTCTAAGACCTTGCTTCCCAGCTACTTGTCCCCATGGGGTTTGGAGCCAACCTAGGTCACATGCTGAGAGTCCTCTGGGTTATGCTTACATAGCTGCTGTTTTGGAAGCTGCACTGGACCATGATTCAAAATTTTCAACTTCATGTACTTGTCCTTTTGCTTCTATTCTGCCTCAGACGTCCTCACCCACGGTGAGAAATGGTCCTTTCTGTGCCACTTCCTCAAGCAACGTGAGGTAGTGGCTGCACTCAGCATCTCATCCCTAAGCTGATGTCAGGAGACATCATGCTGAGTGGCCTTAATAGCCTGGGTATTTAATTCTGTCTCTCTCCAACAAGCTGTGGCATAATGGCTTTTCCTAATTCCTCTCTTAGTTCTACTTTCTCCACCCTCAAAGTGCAGACTATGCAGCAAGTCTGGGAAGCACACTGGTACCTTAGTATCTGTGGTAGTGAAAACAGAAACCTGGGGGAAGGAGCAGGAGCCTTACCTGGTTGAGCCAGCACATGGGTGCTGGAGGCAGCTGCTATGAGCATCAGGCACAGAAGCACTGCAGAGACCTTCATGGTGGACGGTATGAGAGCAAGCTTCTGTGTGAGAGTTGGAGGTTTCTGGTTGTTCTCAACCTCTCCCTGCTCTTCTGGTGGCTCAGTCTGCCTCTTATAGATAGTAGAGAGTCTGGGCAGAGTCGTGATCAAGGAAAGATGAAGTAAGATCCTGAAGGTGCTGAGTAAGTATTAGATCCTGTGGTGATTTCCAGACAAAGAGAAGGAAGCTGTACAGTTTCTATATTTTGCTTATTTAGACTTTGTGGAACAGAGGCGGAAGGATATGTGGTTGTGCCAAGACCATGCAGGAAGTGATTTCATTGGACTAATGATTCTGATTTCTTTGAAATGGAAAAATGTTCTGTAGGAAAGAAAGAGTGGAGCTGAGGTCACATGGAGTAAAGAGAGCCAAGGGCTTGCCTCTTAGAGGGTAGCAGGTGGACCAGGACAAAGCTCTAAGGCCTTGCCTTAGGCACAGACAGGTGCTCCACAGAGCCTTGGTGGAATGATAGAGTCCAGGAGCCTGTGGGTCTTATTGGCCCAGAATCTTAGTGGATGTGTCAGCAGTACTGATCCTGCAGCAGGTGGTTTCCAAGCAGTTTATTTAGGCACTATAGATTCTTCCCAAGTGATACCACATTAAGATGCTCAACATTTCATTCAAGTTCAGATGGAAGGAGTACGTTCACTAATGACTTCCCAACTCTCTTCATTGACACAGAGTGGAGCAGCAGGAGGAGAGGGGCTGGATGGACGTGAAGGAAAGAAGTCAGGCTTGCAAAGCACTCATCTGCACCCTCTCCTCATGTATCACCATTACAGCAGCATAAGGAAGTCTCACTGCCTACAAATCCCCCCAGTTCCTCCTGTTCTTCCCCAAATCTCTGGCCACCACTGATCTTACTCTCTCTATAGGTTTGCCTTTTCCCAAATGTCATATAGTTGGATTCATAGAGTATGTGGCATTTTCAGACAGGCTCTGTTTAGTAAGAAATATGAATTTAAGGTTGCTCCCTACCTTTTTATACTTTGTTAGCACCTTTCTTACTTTAGAAATTAATTATTTATTGTGGAAAAAAGTAACATCAACATAAAATTTACCCTTGTAATCGTTAAGTAAGCAGTCTAATGGCATTAATACATTATATTGTTGTGTAATCAATTTCCATAACTATTTTCACCTTATGAACTAAAACTCTATACTATTAAACTCAGTCCCCCCATTTGCGTACCTGTCCCCAGCCCCTGGGGACCATCATTGACTCTCTTTGTGATCTTGACTTCTCTACCTCATGTAAGTGGAATCATAAAGTGTTTACCTTTTCATGACTGGCTTATTTCACTTCACATAATATCTTCAGGAGTCATCCATGTTGCTGCATTTGTCAAAATTTCCTGAACCTGGTACAATGGCACACACCTATAATCCTAGCACTCAGGAGGCTGAGCCAGGAGGATGGTGAGTTCTAGGCCAGCCTAGACTACACGGTGAGACTCTGTCTTAAACAACTGAGTGAGCAAACAGAAAAAATAATCCCCCCCAAACAAACAGAATTTCTTTTATTTTTAGGCTGAATAATATTCCATTGAGGACTATATCACATTTTCCTTATCCATTCATCAGCTAGAATACATTTGGATAGCTTTCATGTATTAGTTACTGTAAATAACACTGCTATCAACACAAGTGAACAAATACCTCTCACAGACCTTCTTTCAATTGTTGCATATGAGATTGTACAGTTGCACATTTCATTTTTTAAGGAAGTGTCATACTGCTTTCCATAGTGGCTGGACCATTTCACATTTTCATCAACAGTGCACAAGGAGTCTATTCTCTCTATATCCTTGGCAAAACTTGCCATTTTCTGTCTTTTTTTAAATAGTGGACACTCTAATAGATATGCAAGAGTATCTCATTACAGTCCTGATTTTTATTTCTCTAATAACTAGTGATGTCGAATATTTTTTATGTGCTCATTGGCTGTTTGTATGTGTTTTTTTTTTTGAGAAATGTCTGTTCAAGCCTTTTGCCTACTTTTGAATCAGCCTATTTATTGATTTATTTGTTGTTGAGATTTAGAAATTCTTGATTTGTTCTAAATTCCTTATTAGATAAATGATTTTCAAATATTTTCTCCCATTTTATTTTATATTTTTTCCCTTTTTATTTTGTTGATCGTGTCCTTTTATGCACAAAATTTGAAATCTAACTTGTCTAGGTTCTTCCCTTTGTTTATTGTACCAAAAAATCACTGCCAAATCCGATGTCATGAAGCTTTTGTTCATGCTGTCCTCTAAGGGTTTTAGAGTTCTAGATCATGAATTTGGGCCTTTGGCCTATCTGGAGTAAATTTTTGTATATGGTGTTAAGTACAGGTCCAAATTGTGTGTGTGTGTGTGTGTGTGTGTGTGTGTGTGTGTGTGTGTACATCCAGTTTTCCCAGCACTGTTTGTTGAAAAGACAATTGAAGTCTTGTGGCACCCTTGTTAAAAATCATTTCACTGTGTCAAGATTATTTTTCTGGACTCTAATGTGCTCCCTTGGTCTGTATGTCTGTCTGCCTTTATGCCAATACCTTACCGTTTTGATTACTGTGCATTTGTAGGAAGTTTTAAAACCAGGAAGCCCAAATCCTTCAGTTTTGTTCTTTTTAAAGATGTTTAGACTATTCTGGATCCCTTGTTATTCTAAGTGAATTTTCAGATGGGTTGTTCTGTTTCTGCAAAAAAAAAAAGTCACTGGGATTTTGACAGGGGTCTGAATCTGTTGATTGCTTTGGATAGTATTTACATTAATACAATTAAACCTTCTGATTCATGAACATAGAATATATTTTCATTCATTTATGTGTTCTTTATTTCTTTCAGAAATGCTTTATAGCTTTTAGTGTATAATCCTTTCACTTCCTTGCTTAATTCCTAAATATCTTATTCTTTTTTGATACTATTATAAATAGAATATTTTACATAATTTTCTTTTGAAATTGTTTATTGTTAGTGTATAGAAATGTGACTGATGTGCGTTCACTTTGTACCTTACTTCTTTGTTGAATTTATTTATTAGTTCTACAGTATTTTTGTATGGAATATTTAGGGTTTCCTGTGTATAAGATCAGATCATCAGACTGGTGATATAGCTCAGTGGTGATATAGCTCACCTGCGTAGTGTGTTCAAAGCCCAGGGTTCAATCACCAGTTCAGAAAAAAATATCATATCAAGTGAACAGAGATATTTTACTTCTTTCTTTCCAACTGGATGACTTTGGTGCATTTCTTTTTATGGGTGAATAATATTTCATTGTGTGGAAAAACCACAGTTTGCTTATCCAGTCATCTATCTAGGGACATAATATTTCTTCCAGTTTGGGGCAATTATGATTATACCTACATTTGTGTGAAGTTGTATGTGTGACTATGAGTTCTTCTCATTTTGGTAAATACCCAGGATTGCTAGATCATAGGGTAAGAATGTTTAACTTCATAAGAAGCTGCCAAATAGTATTTCAAAATGGTTATACCATTTTGCATTCCCACGAAAAATCGATAAAAGTTACCATTTGTTCTACATCCTTATCAGTATTTGATATTCTCATTTTTTAAAAAAAAAAGATTTTAACTGACCTAATAGGTATGTAGCAGTATCTCTTTTTTGTTTTGTGATACTGGAGTTTGAACTCAGGGTTATGCTTGCTAGATAAGTGCTGTACCACTTGTGTCTTATTCCAGCCATTTATGCTTTCATTATTTTGGGGAAAGGGTCTTCCTCTTTTTTTTTAATGCCCTGCCTGGCAATCCTCCTATGTATGACTGCTATATAGCTGGGATGACAGGCGTGTATCACCATACCCAGATATTTATTGTTAGAGATGGGATCTTACTAACTTTTTGCCTGGGCTGGTCACAAATTACAATCCTCCCCATCTCTGTCTCCCCAGTAGTTGGGACCACAGGTGTAAGCCACCATGCTCAGCTTGTATTGGACACTTTTATATGATTATTTTTCCTCTGCATATCTTCATTTGTAAAGTTGTCTATTTCTTAATTGGATTGTTTGCTTTCTTAGTGTTAAGTTTTAAAAGTTCTTCATATACTTTGGATACAAGACCTTTTCAGATATGTTTTGCAATGATTTTTCTTTTTTTAATTATTCATTTATTCACATGTGCATACATTGTTTGGGTCATTTCTTCCCCCTGGTCCCCTCCCCCACCTTCTCCTTCCCTCCCCCGCTCAGTTCCAGGCAGGTCCTGTTCTGCCTTTATCACTAATTTTATTGAAGAAAAGATGCAAGCATAATAAGGAAGACAAAGCGTTTTTGCTAGTTGAGTTAAGGATAGCTATACAGAAATATTCTTAGCATTGCTTTCATGTACACATGTTGATTCATCTCTAACTGATCTTTACACTGGTTACTGATCCTCTTCTCATGATAACCCCTGTCGCTTTAAGGTCTCTGTATTAGCTCCTCTGGAGTGGGGTCATCAAATGCTTTCATGTTTTGGGTTTTCTACCTATTTCCATATCTCCCATGTGTGCTCTCCCTTGTCATGTGATCCAAGTCCAGCCACATTGTTACATTTGCCCTAGATCTAAAGTCCACATATAAGGGAGAACATACGATTTTTGGTCTTCTGAGCCTGGCTGACCTCGCTCAGAATGATGTTCTCCAGTTCTATCCATTTACCTGCAAATGATAAGATTTCATTCTTCTTCATGGCTGATAAAATTCCATTGTGTACAAGTACCATATTTTCTTGATCCATTTATCAATAGTGGGGCATCTTGGTTGTTTCCATAACTTGGCTATTGTGAATAGCATTGCAATAAACATGGGTGTACAGGTGCCTCTGGAGTAACCTGTGTTGCATTCCTTTGGGTATATCCCCAGGAGTGGGATTGCTGGATCATATGGCAGGTCTATGTTTAGATTTTTAAGAAGTCTCCAAGTTTTTTCCCAGAGTGGTTGCACCAGCTTGCATTCCCACCAGCAGTGGATTAGGGTTCCTTTTTCCTCACATCTT